CAGAATAAACCTCCTAGACCTGGAAACCAGCAAGGCCCACCCCAGCAGGGAGGAGAGCAGCAGAATAAACCTCCTAGACCTGGAAACCAGCAAGGCCCACCCCAGCAAGGAGGCCAGCAACAGAATAAACCTCCTAGACCTGGAAACCAGCAAGGCCCACCCCAGCAGGGAGGCCAGCAGCAAAATCGCCCTCCTAGACCTGGGAATGAGCAAGCACCACCCCAGCAGGAAAGTGAGGAACAGCAAAGTTACCTGTAGACATTTTCTGCATCACCAGGATGTTCCTCAGCAGGAAAAAGGTAATCAGAAACCTTATCCTTCACACAGTCCCCAAATGACCCAGATCAGCACACTACTCCTAAAGAATTAGATCACATATACATCCAAAACTTGAATGGACTCTATATCCAAGAATTCTATGATGGATGTGATTTACCTTCATTCTCCATCAAATGGCTTAACTCTTATCAGAATTAGAAAGCCAAAAAAACTAAGAAGTATCTTAGGATATGTTGTGTCTTTCCTCTTGTTGACTTTATCTATCTATGTATCTATCTATGTATGTATCTATCTATCTATCTATTATCTATCTATCTGTGTCTGTCTGTCTATCTAACTATTTATTTATTTATTTATTTATTTATTTATTTCAGGTGAACTGGAAGACATACATTTAATGTCTTTTCAATGGAACAATGATGTTGTGAGTTTACCTTCAACATTCTAATAAAATATTTAGCATGTTACTGTTTGCTGTTTCTTATTCTGAGTATGACTGAGTGAAATCTGGTGCATGCTGCCAAATGTAATGTGAAGATAGAACCATTCCCTTTAGTTACTTTCAGAAAGTGGCCCTCTTTCCCCCTTTACAAATGAGCAAACTGTCACATGAGAGATCCCCTTTTTTCCATACATAGAATTCTGCCTACAGCTTTGCTGTATTTCCCAGATGCCTGCAATGTTAGCAGGAGACTTCATGTTAGACCTGGATTACAAGATTAAACTGTATAAACACATTGAACTACTTAAAATGCCCTTAATTAGTCATGTGCCTTGTTTGACCAGTAGACTAAGGAACATTTGTCTAGGAATAATTGAATAAGGTAGTCTTTGTTTCTCACAGGTAATACTCTCTCAGTTCACAATTTACATGTGAGGAAGGACTTGTTCCTACAGCTAGTGTTCTTTTGGGCATTCAAGTATCAACTAGTTCACATTCTTCCTCTGATTTTGACTGGTCTATAATGCAGTGGTGTCATTGGGACATGATTATCATTACCCTTTTTCATTTTTTCTAAAATTGTATACCTAGGCCTTAGGAGCAAATGAAATTTTTAAGTAATTTAAGTAACTTTTAGAGCTTGAAGCATGATCCTAACAAGGTTATCAATAAAATACAGGAATCAGATATTGGGCTAAAACCTGATTTTCCTTTAAGAGATGAATTTCCTATTTCACTGTGAATTAGCATTTTCAAAAGCCAAAGATTAAATTATTATATGCCTAGTTTCTGAATTTGGTATCATTCTATTTATGGCTAAAGTCAATCTTTTTTATTTAAACAGTGTTCATCTCATACTCTCTCCTTAAAAATCCATTTTACATACCAACCACAATTCCCCTACCACACTTTTTTCTGCTCCCCCAACCCATAGATTCCTCTTCAACACACCCCCATCCACTCCTCCATAAGGATAAGACCTCCCATTGGGAGTCAACAAAGCCTGGTACCTTATGTTGAGGCAGGACAAAGACGCTCTCCTCTGCATCAGGATGAGCAAGGCATCCCACCAGCAGGAACTGACTCCAGAAAGCCAACTGTGTGCCAAGGATAGTGCCATGGACTAGCCCACCGGGGGTATCACGACCGTAGGCGAACCAGGGCTTGGGTAGTCAGGAAGGCAAGGATTTGGCGAATGACAGACAACATTCAGAAGTGGTTTGAATCTGCTGACATTCGCCAAATCCTTGCCTTCCTGACTACCCAAGCCCTGGTTCTCCTACAGTCGTGGTATCCCCGGAGGCCAATTCATGGCATGTGGCACCCAAACAGGGACCCTTGGGACAGGTAATTCTTTCCCCCTTTTTTCTTTCTTTCAAGGCTTAGGATTGGCTCCTGCCAGGAAGCTACAGTTCCATCGATAAAGGATCATTGGTTAAGGGCAAGTAATCTTGAGTTAACATGGGGCAACATGAGTCAAAACAAGAAAGGCTGTTTATGTCAGTGTTTAAGCACATGATGGCAAGCAGGGGATTAAAAGTATCGAAGCAATCACTGGGAGAGTTCTTTGCCTTTATTAAGAAGGTGAGTCCTTGGTTCCCTGAGGAAGGCTCCCTTACCCTGCCAGATTGGAAACGTGTGGGGAAGGAAATGAGAAAATATGAGGAGAAAAATGGTGAAGGGGAACTCCCTCCCTGTGCATATACATTGTGGTTGCAGATGAGAGAGTTACTAACTGACTCTACTGATTTTGAAGGATTATCACAGGAGACAGCTTCTGTACATGAAGCTGAGCCAATATCGTCAAAGACTAAATCATATGGTACCAGTTCAAGTAAGCCCTCCACAAGTAGTAAGGAGTTGTTATCAGAAGGTGCCTGTTATGTGAAAGTCAAGAATGACGATGACAATGATAATTGGGACCTACATGAGGAGGCAGCTAAGTATGGCCCCTCTGAGGATAGGGACCACTATCATGATCACTTCTCTCCTATTAAGGCTGTAAAACAAAAACCTAAAAGATGTTCTCTGGTCGCTTCTGGCTTTAGAGGAGCTATTTAAAAAAAAAAAAAAGGAAAGAAAAAAACAAGACAAACTAGAGATACTACATTCACCTTCCCAATGATGGAAATCTTAGATGGGGAAGAACCTGTTTGGAAACCTATTCCCCTTAAGACTCTCAAAAAATTATAGGCAGCTATTAAAACAGCTGGCCCATCAGCACTCTATACCATCCAGGTATTGGACATGGTTGCCAGTTTATGGCTTACACCTTATGACTGACATCAGATAACAAAGGCAACCTTGAGTCCAGGGGATTATACCCTCTAGAGGACAGATTATGACGATAGGTCTAAAGAGACTGTGGCTTCCTAAAAAAAAAAAAAAAAAAAAAAAAAAAAAAAAAAAAAAAAAAAAGAGCCAAACCAGGTATGGATATGCTTTTGAGGGC